TGGTTCAAGTCCTTGGGCCCCTATACCCACACTTCCAGGGAGACCTGGAAGAAGCCCAGCTTCAGCCATTATGGCCATTTGGGATGTAAACCAGCAGATGGAAAATCTCTTTCTCTCTTGTAAATCTGCCTTCCACACAAGCAAGGAAAGAAAGAAGGAAGAAGAAAGAAAGGATGAAGGCGAAAGAGAGAGAGAGGGAGGCAGAGAAGGGAGGAAAAAAGAAAAACTTAAAACAGATAACAACACTCATGCTTATTAATAAAAACTGGTTAAATCAACACTTTATATATATTCATACATGTATGAGTTTATATATATATATTGTGTTTTATATGTTATATATATAGTGTTTATACATAGATCAAAAATTATATATAAAGCATGCTCTTCAGTAGTGGAAAAGCAGCAAATAAATAAGAGCATAGCAAGAATCACAAAATATATTAAGTGAACAAAAGCTAAAAATAAAGCATAAATACAACTATTTGTTTCAAAGAAAAAAAGAGATATACTGAATGTGAATATATGCTTCTAATATGCATGTATATTACCTTAAAGTACACCGGACAAGTGCAAGATCCAGGACTGGGAGTGGGCCTGTTAGGGAAATTGTGGACACCTCTCTGATGGGTTGCAACCCACTAGTGAGCATGAGAACCAGGGCTGGGGGCAAGCCTGGCTAGACAGGCTGCCGGAATGAGTATGGGCTGGATAGTGGGGTCTGCGGGGTTGAGCTGTTTCAACCCCCCACTAATATATACGAGAGCTGAATGGGATGTGGGACAGACAGGACCAGTCTGCTGCATATACTGGCAAGGATAGGAACTAGGGCTGGGACTGGGCCTGGTGCGGATTACTGGAGTCACACTGATTAGATTGATGTGAGGACCAAGTGTGTGGTGGGCAGGGTTGGGCTGGGCCACCACATCCATTGGTTTATATAAGAGATAGGTTTGCAAATAGTACTGACCCAGCAATTACAACAAATAGTGTGTATGTAGGCTGACATGGGTGATGGACTGAGCCAGACCCGCTCTCTACTGGCGATCTCATACAAGAGTCTGGACCTAGATCGTCTCAGATGAGGTTTCTGTGGGGCTCTTCCCAACTGAACTGCTGGACTCAGAACTCCAACCATGGAGCAGATACACCTTGGAAGGATTTCCTCATCCTTGAATTGGTGAGACCAAAAGCATTTCAGAACTACTGAAACCACTCATGTGGAACCCTCAGAGCAGGGCCCACATTGAAGACCCTGGGATAGCATCAGTGGCCATTCCCCTTACTCAGGTACTGGGGTGGTGAGGAGGCTGTGTGCAGCTTCTCCCCCAATTCTCCCCTTCCCCCAGATACAGGAAGAAAAGGGGGGAATATTTGGAAACAACTGTCTTATGCTGGTCAACTATGTAAACACCATCAAAAATTTTAAAAATAAACGACTAAAAGTCCAGTGAATGGAATCCAGATTTCATGAAGAAGGAGCATCCTCACAAATCCATCCGTAGGTCCCCATCCTCAGGGTAAAATCCTCATTTCAATAACATACAAGGTCCTTCAAAGTCCAATCCTCTCACTCTTCCAGCCTCAATCCCCAACTTCTCCCTCCCCTCTCCCCCAAACACTGTATTCACTTTTTCTTCCTGTCATTATTCCACTTAACTGAAATTCCATAATTTCTTAGCAATATTCAACTCATCTAGAGTTAAATGTCTACCAAAAAAGGAACTGGCTACTACATACAGAGAGAAAGATCTTTCATCCGATGATTCACTCCCCAAGTGGCCACAACAGCTGGAGCTGAACCAATCCAAAGCCAGGAGCCAGGAGCTTTCTCTGGGTCTCCCACGCAGTGTAGGGTCCCAAGGCTTTGGGCCATCCCCAATTGTTTTCCCAGGCCACAAGCAGGGAGCTGGATGGGAAGCAGAGCTTCCGAGATTAGAACCAGCATTCATATGGGATCCCAGCACATGCAAAATGAGGATTTTTTTAAAAAAAGATTTATTTATTTTTATTGGAAATTCAGATACACAGAGAGGAGGAGAGATAGAGAGGAAGATCTTCTGATAATTTACTCCCCAAGAGGCCACAACTGGCCGGACCTGAGCCAATCCGAAGTCAGAAGCCAGGAGCTTTTTTCGGGTCTCCCACGTGGGTGCAGAGTCCCAAGGCTTTGGGCCATCCTTGACTGCTTTCCCAGGCCACAAGCAGGGAGCTAGATAGGAAGCAGGGCTGCTGGAATTAGAACTAGTGCCCATATGGGATCCTGGCATGTGGAAAGTGAAGACTCTAGTCGCTAGCTACTGTGCCGGGCCCTCAAAAGAATTTCTTTAATTTTTTTTAACTTAGTTTAGATTGTGTCACTGCTTTGCTCAAAACTTCCCACTGGTTATTTACTCACAGGACTATTTTGTCAAGGGAGGACTTGCGGTATATCACACTATCTCCACATGGCTAAAATCTGTTAACCGCTAAAACCAATCAAAGTAAGCAGAATATTTTGGAGACTCTTCATACCAGTTTATTGAGGGATTTTAGGGAGTCAACACACTGACCAACAGGAAAAAAACATACAATAATGTACATCCCTGGGCTGTTTCCCAATTTATTCCAAATAGAGCCAGAGACCAAACTCGACACAGAAATGTTCTCATGAAACTACAGAGCCATTTGTAGATACTGCACCAAAGTCTGTTGTAATGACTCTTATACCCTGCACCATCTCTAAAAAGAGCGAAATAAACATATAGTTCTCAACAAATATTGTTGCTATAGGAAAAATGTTAAGTGTTACCTGTAAATTCTCTAAGAAAATGTAAGCTTGTTCCTTTCCTACTAAAGATACCAACCTTTGGAGCCAGCAATGTAGCACAACAGGAAAGCTTAAAACTGCAATGCTAGCACCCCATTTGGGCTGAGTTCAAGTCCCAGATGCTCCACTTCCTACCCGACTCCCTGCTAACGGCACAAGACAGCAGCAGCAACAACGGTCCAAACTTGGGCCCTGAAACTCACCTGGAAGACTCAGAAGAGGCTCCTGGCTCCTGCTGGCCCAGTCCCAGCCACTGCGGCTATTAGCAGTAAACCAGTAAAAGGATGGAAGAACTTTTTCTCTTTTTCACATGTGTGTGTGACACTTTAAAAAAAATACTAAACTTAAAAAAGGGTCTATCCTGTAGACTAGTAATAAAAAAATATATATTACAAGGAAGTGGCTCAAGATAGAGATCAGTAATTACAGTCAATTTACTTCAACGCTTTATTTAAAACATTTTCAAAGTTATAGCTATGAAACAGCAAAATTACCTATCAAATTCTTGAAATTTGTTTATTATAACTATCTCTAAACTATGAAAACACTACACAGGGCTGTTGGGTCAATTAAATGAATAATATAGGAAGAACTTGTTAAAACAGTGCCAGGGTCCCAGCACCGTGCGTAGAGGCTAAAGTCCTCACCTTGTATGTGCTGGGATCCAGCATGGGCACCAGCTCGTGTCCTGGCAGCCTGGCTTGCAGTCCAGTTCCCTGCTTGTGGCCTGGCACTTGGTGTGCGAACCAGCAGATGAAGATCTCCCTTTCTGTCTATATGACTTTCCAATAAAAATAAATAAATCTAAAATAAACAAACAGAAAAATACAGGGCCAGGCTTGGTTATTCAAATGTATTATCCAGTTCAAGAGACTCCTTTATTTAACAATGGAATCCCATCAGAATAAATCCAGCATAAGTTAGTATCATAAACTCAAACTTAATTTATATACTTAGCCTACTGCATACAGTTTGGCCTTGCTAATGTTAAATGTGCTCAGAAAACTTCCATCAGCTTGCAGTTTGGCACTGACAAAAGACATTGATACAGGATTTTGTGCTGGCCTGAGGAAAGATCAAAATTCAAAATCTAAACAGTTTCTTTTGGGGGAATACTTGAAGGGTCAACTGTTTGGAATCAGTGGCTGAGACAACATGTATGAAGAGCCACCCGAAAAGTTAAACACCAGCAAAGGAAAAGCCACATCACCTCTAAATAGCAATACACACAACACACATAATTGAGGGTGGCTACAACACTTGTTCTTGGAGAGAATTCCGTTTTATTTGGGGGGTGCAGGGGAAGAAACCACAGTCACGCTTCGGCATAATTTTATCTTCCAACAAAGCATCGAGTCCTGGGAGGTTGGGCTCAGCAGCCTAAATCTCCACTTGGGATACCAACATCTCATCCATATCAGAGACCCAGGAACTTCCTCGCTAATTCAGCTTGCTGCTAATGCATATTCATGAAACAGTAGATTATGGCTCAAAAACTGTGGTCCCTAACATCTACACGGGAAAACCCAAATGGAGTGTCTGGCCCAGCGCTGGCTGTTGTAGCATTTTGGGAGTGAACCAACCAGTGGCCAGCAGACCTCTCTGTCTCCGTGTCTTTCAAATAAATAGTAAAAATACACTAGTTCATATTTTTAAGACAATGGATTCTACCAATCCCGTCCATCACCACCACTCCTCCTTCAGCACGCATTATCTATTTCCAAGCAAAAAAATATATATGGTGAAGTTTTTACTCTAGTACCAGTCTAAATAGCTTAACGAACAGATTGTAAACACCTCGGGACAGATAACAGCTTTATCAAGCCAAAATTAAATATGAAGGCATTCAGGTTACTTTCCAACACAGGTTCGACTCACAGGGACTTTAACGGCTTATCCACTGCAGATTTCAATAATGCATTCATAATGCAGCGACGGACGAGAACGATCAAAGGGGTCATACAATTAAGCTACCTATCGCCTACCTCTTCCCCTAAACGCTGTTTGAAGGCAGTTGAAACTCTATCGTTAAATCATATGTTCTCGATGTCTTTTCGGACCATGATTAACAAGCGGAGTTAACAAGCAAGACAGGACCAAGACACGACCAGCAGACACGAGGGTCCCCCCGCAACCCAAGCCCCCAACATCACAAGGAGGACCGCACTCCCAGACGGCCACACAACACTACCCTGCCCCGCCGCACGTCCAAGAGGGAAGCCCAACACGCGACAGGCTGACCTTTGATGGAACTCGAGAAAAACTCAAAACCGAGCCGCCAACGGTACCCTGTGGCCTGCGACACCCGTCTCCCGGAAAGCGGTCGCGCGGAGACGGCGTCAATACGCGCCAGTCCTGCCTAAGCAACGAGCGTCGCTGGCTAATGACCTCACGCGCTCGCCCCGCCCTCCTCACGCCCCCTCTCAAAGCTTCAGGCTGTTGGCGTTGAAGGCTAGGACTCTGGACACTTTTATTTGGATTCGTATTCGGTCAAACACGAGTCCCGAAAGATAAATTGAATGTATGTAGTCAGAAGAAAAAAGCTGATCACTAACGACTTTTTTTCCCCCAGATTATTACCTTTGAGGAAGTTCCTTCCTTCCAGGGACCAGGTTCTTAAACTACATTCTTATTTTCTACCTCAAACTTGGAGTCGCTTCCCAAGTTGTCTATGCTGAAACATGAGTGATTGTTCCAATCCATTGCTGACAGATACTTTCGTAACTACGATAAAAGTGAATTAATAAAAAAAAATGAAAAAGCAGGGGCCGGCCTTCTTCTGCTTCCCATATGGGTGCTGGTTCGTGTCCTAGCTGCTTCATTTCCCATCCAGCTCCCTGCTTATGTTGGGAAATCAGCAGAGAATGGCCCAAGGCCTTAGGACTTTGCACCCATATGGGAGACTCAGAAGAACCTCCTGGCTTTGGATTAGCTCAACTCCAGCCACTATGACCATTTGGGGAATGAGCTAGCAGATGAAGGGTCTTTCTGTCCCTCCTTCTCACTGTAAAAAGATCTGTTTTTCTAATAAAAATAAATAAATTTTTAAAATGGATTTATTTGCTGGAAAAGCAGAGTGACAGAGCTGAAAAGACAGCAAGACAGGGAGCTCTTCCACCTGCTGTTTTTCTCTCCAAAAGTACAGGTCAAATCACGAGGCAGGAACTGAATCCAGGTTTCCCACATAGGTGCCAAGGACCCTAGCACTTGGGCAAACACTTGCTGCTTTCCAGGGGGTATGTATCATCAGGAAACTGGATTGGAAAAGGTGCAGCCTGCACTTGAACTGGCAACCTGATCTACGATGCTGACGTCACAAGTAGTAACTTAAACCACTGTCCAATGTCAGTCCCTATTAAAAAAAATCTTGCAAAAAGGTCATGTATTTTAATATTCAAGCATTTAACATGACAAATGGGGTTAGTTAGCCTTGGGTTGAAGAATTTCTTGCAAATCTGCTGAGGATAGAATGTATTTTAAACAGCTCATCTATTTTGAATCTGTATTGCAGAAATGAGTCTTGGATAGCTACACTGATGGGAATAAAGAATTCTTTTTTATTGTAAAGGCAAATATACAGAGAGAAAGAATTTCTGTCCACTGGTTCACCCTCCAATTGGCCACAGTGGCAGGAGCTGAGCCAATCCCAAGCCAGGACCCAGGAGCTTATTCTGGGTTTCCCACGCAGGTGCAGGGTCCGAAGGCCTTGAATCATCCATCTACAGATTTCCCAGATCACAAGTAGGGAGCTGCATGGGAAATGGAGCGGCTGGCATATGAACCAACAACCTATGGGATCCCAGTGAATACAAGGTAAGGATTTAGCCACTAGGCTACCGCACCAGACCTGATAGGAAGAATTTTTTTAAATTGACTCAGCAGCTGGCTTTCGGGATGAAAGAAAAAAGCAGTTGTCACATTCCCAGTGTAGATCAGGTCTGTGTTTTGCCTTACTATAACAGAATACCACCAACCGGGCAATCTGTAAAGAAAAACCAACATGTATTTCTCATGGTTCTGAAGACTGGGAAGAGTAGTATCAACATGTTGGCATCTGGTGAGGGGCTTCTTTTCAGGTCAGCCAATAGCAGAAAATGATAGGATGAGAGAACACATTGAAAAAAAAAAAGAATTAAATTCCTTTTAGGACATGTCCACTCAACTGATAACAAACAGACTTTCATGGCATGAACAGCATTAATCCACTCATGAGAATGGTACCTAATCACTTCGTAAAGGTCCTGCCCCTCCACACTCTTGCAGAGGGGATTAAGCTTCCAGCACATGAATGTTGAAGGTCAGATTCCAAGCATAGCCAGTTCTTTTGGGTGATGTAGAAGCAATTCCTGGGGACAAACTATGACACTCTGGACCCTGGACCCTGCACTCTGGACCCTCAGTCTCCTCTAGAAAGCAGAAATAGTAACAGCAACTATTGCTTTGGAATCAAAAGAACCAAAGAAGACATGGTACCTCAATGCTAATACACAATAACTAGCAGTCACAGGTAGTAGTGATATAATAGTATCATAGTAAAGAAGGAAATTAGATTGCATGTTTCTTACATCTTACTGCTAAAATGGGGTAACAAAATTGACTCCTAATGTATAATATAAGGGAATATGTTTATTTTTTGAATGAAGACATAAGAAAATCACCATTGTATGGTCATCATGATAGTAACTGACAATTGAAATTCATCAATACTAACACTATTGAGTGGAAGCTTCATGGGGAACAGGACATTTATACCACCTGGCATCTCAACACAGGTTCTTTTTTTCATTACAGAGACAATACTGGTAACTTATTCTGGGTAAATCCAATAGACATAGAACCAAGTGTTCTGTTGGTATAATTAGTCATGGAACAAACTATGTTGCCTGCTTTTTGTGATGCACTAATTAAAAAGGATCACATCACTATGTACTACTCCTGTCAGAACTGTATCACCTAAATCTGACCTGCAAATATCAACACAGCCAAGTTGGAGGATTTTCTTTTAAGAAAAAAAAATATAGCCAGTATCTCAAAAATGCTAAAGTCATGGGAAGGAAGGGCAGGAGCAGTAAGGTGGGGAAGGTTGTAAAGATGAAAGAAACATGACAACTGAAAGCAGTGTGTAATCTTGGACTGGATCCCACTGAATGAAAAAGAAATCAAAGGGTACCACCAGGGCAGTGTAGATTGTACACAGTAGTATTAAACCAATGTTTTCTCAATTGGATCTTTGTACCAATGTTACAATAGAGATCATCCTTGCTCACAGCAGATGCATGCTCAAGTGTTCGTAGTAGGGGAGGATGGCCATGTTCTATACAATTTACTCTCAAATGCCCATCATTCAGGGAAGAGAGTCCTTACCAGTTAATAATAGTAATGCTGTGTGAAGAAAAATATGGAATGTGCCTATTTCTTACTTGTAAATCTGGTCAAGATTATGAGCATTCATTTTGCTATGCTTGCAACTTGGCTTGGCTACAGATTTGAAACACACAAAGTACAAAAAAACATGAGGCGTTAGCAGGTGAGAGCAGCAGAGAGAGCCTTTGCTTACACGCAGTGGTTTAGCTTCGTGGGCATGCTGCACACAACTCTCCTGGTCTTGTTTGTGACCCTGAAGACGTGGGAGGAAAAATGTGCCACATGTACCATGAGTTATAGCTCATATATTCGAAATATTACTTGGGCCATCTTTTTTTTTTAAAGATTTATTTTTATTATGTTTTTATTGAAAAGGCGGATATACAGAGAGGAGAGACAGAGAGGAAGATCTTCTGTCCGATGATTCACTCCCCATGAACTGGATCAATATGCCACATTTGCAAGAGCCAGATGAAAAACCATTTTCAAAACCACTTCATGGCTGGGCCTTGCTGACCAATCATCGTCATGTTCTTATCAGGTTTCTAATCTCTATGCATCTCATGTGTATTATAATTCTCGGAAAATAGAAACTGTGTGTGTGAACAATAACCTCAGAAATAAATGTAGAGGCTGATGCCATTCATAAAGAGATCAAATAGAAAATTTAATTAAATGATCAATCTTAGCATGAAAATAGAATTTATGAATAAATCAGCTTAATATAGCATTTCATGTTGGTTTAGATCTAAGAATGTGCTCATATATATAGCAAAATGATCCGCTGATAATTCTAGCTGGTACAAAATTTTTCATCCAATGAATAAGACTGCAAAAATTTATGTAAGTTCTGAATTGCTGTTGAATCCTTTGTAGAAAGTTATGAAAAATTTCCCATCACAGATAAACCTCTTCTTCAACTCCCACTAGTGTGGCTCTATAGAAGAGGGTTTATGTTTCTGTAACATTTTTCCTAAGTGCATTGACAGAAAGTAGGTACTATATTTTGCAAATTTAAGAATTTGAAAAGTTTCTGTGCGTATGCCGTATCCATTCAGGTTCTGCTGAGTTTCCAGTGCTGTCATAAATAAGCCCCTGTTACAAGATGGTTGAACCGTTGAACCCTACAGATCCTTCAGCTCCCACCTGTGGCTGTGCCTTCCACTGTGTTACTCTGCTATTCCTGCCATCAGCAGGCAGAGTGTGTTTTTCTAGGTCTTGATTCTTAGTTTTGGCATTCAAATTGTTTTGGCCAAAGGGATAATAGTGGATGTGATGTGAGATGAGACTTCAAAACCTGGGCTTGCTATGTTCTGCTTCTGTGCCTGCCATGAGAATGTTAGACACAGCCAGCACATTATCCCGAGGGAGCAACATGGAGAACAGCTGAGTGGCCCCAGCCAGAACCAGCCTAGACTCACAGCTGACTCGCATCCCACCTTCCATGTATATGAATGAGCACAGTCAACATCAGCAGGCAGGTCATTTTAGCTGAACTGTACAGACTATTGAGTAATAAACGCCTAATGTATCAGCTGACCCAGACTACCATTACAGACTATCCCAGGCTGAAACAACACAAGTTTTTAATTTCTCAAATTTCTAGAAGCGCAAGATAAAGGTGCTGTTGAGGTTAGTTTCTGGCAAAGCTTCCAATCCCAGATCACACATGGTGCCTTCTCACTGGGTCCTCACTTGGTCTTTATGCAAGCATAAGGAAAGATCTTTAGTAACTGCTCCTCCTCCTGAGGACCAGTCTTGTGCAGTGAGGGTTGCACCCTCTAAACTTCAATTACTTGTGAAGAGAATCATTCAATCTATACCATTATTGTATATCACACAGTAATTCTGTGGCACTAATTGCCACATTCAGTATGAATAAATAAAGAAGAAAAGGAAAGGGCCTAGTGCAGCAGCCTAGTGGCTAAAGTCCTCACCTTGC